AGAGCGGCGAGCACAAGGCACAGGAAAACCGTGGGTGGGTTGCCCCCCATTGCACCACAAAGGTGTGTTATGTATGTCGTTTTTGTCAACTAGCCAGTCACATATATGCATCGAAACAATCTGGGTTTGCTTCCGATGGTTCCTCTGACTGCGTTCTTGCTGTTCGCCTCGTTGTTCACCTTTTGTTTTTGGGCCCCTTTCGCCCAGGAATACCATTGCCCTCCCCACAATGCGTGTGCGGAAATAGGGTGGGCACAAAAATTCCTTATAAAGCTAGTGCATCATCAAAAAGACGCTTGCCACTAAGTCCTGCGAAGGTTTGCCGGTTTTTGTTGGAGATTGTACTCCTAAGGATCCAGAGTTCCACGAATGCTATATATATGAAACCTAAACTAGACGACACCCAAGGACGCTCAAGGACACTCAAGATCATCCAAGAAATAGACCAGACACTCAAGGACACTCAAAGACACTCAAGGACATTCTTGAGTGTCTTTGAGTGTCCTTGAGTGTCTGATTCAAACAGCGCACGTCTGGCGACCCCAATGTATCTTCTGACATTCTTTCTGACAGACTGTCTGGCGTATCTTCTGACATAGTTTCTGACGCTTTTCTGTCATATCTGTTCACATTATGTGTGACATTTCTCTCATATGTCTTCTGATCTTCTCGCATATCTGCTGACATTTTTCAGACTTTCTGTCTGGCATATTTTTGACCTTTTGTCTTGCATTCTATCTGGCATATTTTTTACATATCTCTTGACACTCTTTCTCACATTTTTTCCGGCGTTCTGTCTGAAATATCTTCTGCCTGGCGGTTGAGGTCCAATGGTGAACACTGCCGTCCAGAGCTGGCGTTTGAGGTTTTTGTGACATTTTTCTGGCATATCTTCTGACATGCTTTCTGACATTCTTTGCGGCATATCTTTTGCCATTCTTTCTGTCATATCTGTTGACATTTTTTCTGACCTTTTTCTGGCATATCGTCCTGACATTATTTCTGACATATTTTCTGGCATATCTGTTGACATTCTTTCTGACATTCTGTCTGGCATATCTTCTGACATTTTTTCTGACATTCTTTCTGGTGTTCTATCTGGCATATCTTCTGACTCGCGGTTGAGGTCCAGCGGAGAACACTGACATCCGCCACTTGCGGTTGAGGAAGAGGCGGAGGAGAAGGAGAGGACGCGAGGTAGCTGGCATAGAATCTAACAGAATCTAACAACCCTCACCTGACAGGTGGGGAAAAAACAGCAAACAAGTCAATGTAAAAGGCCTTCTCCGGGGCCAAAGCTGTAGAATAAACTCAAAAATGAAATAAAGAAAGAACTAAACTTGCCTCCTGGTACGGCATCCTCTTCCCCAGGAAAAGGGACAAAAAAGGCAGCGTCCTCAAATGCGACAAGCTGTGAAGAGTCTCTTCACAACCCTCAAGCACGTTCAGCTCAAGCTTTCTTTCATGATGACAAAATGAGCAATGTCGCAAGTACAAAAGGTATAAGCCAGATAAGCCAGAAAATCAATATCCAAAATCCCAAGTCATTTTGGTATGGTTCTCCTACGGCCAGTCAGGATGTGTGGCTGATGCGGTAGTCAGCACTTATTTTATACATCTCTGAAGCTTTTGACATGGCAATGACCAGAAGCAACAATGATTTGCATGACTTGCAGATTTAGACCAGGGCGGGCCACAGACTCCGCTGATGGCCGCTCCACGTCTTCAGTGCTGATTGGCTCAGCATCTCCCCAAGGCGGCGGACATGAGAAAATAATTGAGTCCTCCATGCAAAGGCTGCACACATGCAGCTCAAGGCAGCCTGACTTGAATCGAACTCCTTTCATCTCCTTTCAAACATTTTCAAACATCCAAATGACATGAACTCTTTGCTTTTACAATTCAGTTCTCCTCGGAAAAGGGATCTTCCGATAGATCTCCCATGTTCACCAGATTTCGCCTGAGTTCTGAAAGGATGTCTTTGCGCCGGCAGCAGCTTCAATGCTAAGAGCTGCTAAGGTGCGCGAAAGTGGGGCTGTACGAGCTCACATTGTTGTCGCTGTCGTCTTTCTTGGACGCCTCAAGAGGTGGTCTTGAGACATTAAAGGATTGAAGACCAAAGACAAAACGGTTCAAGCGGTTGACACAAGAACTTTCATCCTGCCTCGTTCGCCCGGGCCATTGGTCGCAAGCGGCTTGAGCTTCGCAAGGCTTCAATTTCGGACATGATCTTGTCCTTGACACGATCAACGTCAACGCACAAGATGGACCCAAACAGTGCCTTGTGATTCTTCAAGCAACATCAAGCAACAAACAAATACGAAATCATCAAAGGCTCGATGCTATACTGCTTGCCCGTGTCCACTGACATCTCTGGATGAAGAAAGCTTGTCAACAGCTGTGTGCTGCTGCGAAATGCAAATCAATGAATGATAGCTTTGTCTAGCCAATCCGCACCAAAATGTGTTGTCCTCTACATGTTGCTAGTAATCAAACCGCTCAAAGCTCCTTCTGGACAAAGGTTGTCCAAAATCGCATAAGCCTGTGCTGCAAGTTATGCTGCTGTTCCAGCTGTATCAGGAGTAGAACTCGAGCCAAGGCCAGAAGCCAATCTACCAAGCTGCCAAGGGCTGTTCCGCTGTTTGCCTTTGTTACCAAGCTGGAGATTTTGCTTAAGTGGGCAAGCCACAGCAAGTCACTTGCAACTAAAAAATTGCAAAGCCACAGAGCCTAAGGAAGTAATGTCTGCTTCTTCGGTTGGTGCAGCCAATGCACCGGAATTGGCCAGCTCCCTTACCTGGTTCAAAAAGTCTCTCAAACAGACTCAAACAGAAATATTGGCGTCTCAAAATGTCTTGAGAGGCCTGGGATGCAAAATGAGGCCTCTGCAGCTGACCTGACCAACATAGCGCTCGGGGGGTTGCGGTAAGGAGCCTTGCAATGGCATTCGAGTGTGAGTCGAATGTCACTGCTACTTGCTGCCACAGGTATCCCCAAACTCGAATGGTGTTAGAACGAAAACACAAAGAACAAAATGCCAAGTGCGCAGACTCTCTGAGCGCTAACAAAAAATGCATCGAGCCTAGCAAGGCCCTCGCACTGCTTAGGTCCAAAGGACATTGCCTAGCCACTCAGTTCAACTAGACCCAGGACTCCGTATCAAGCATGTAAAGCAATATGTATATACCCTAGAGTATAGTCTTCTTTTTGGACAAGGGTTTCAAATCCTCTGTCTTGCTACCTATTTCTTGCAAAATGATGCATACGCCTAAGTCGGAGCACCATGTCTTCAGTATGCAAGCATACACATTTAACTTCTCAGGCTGACGCGCCGAAATCTTGGCAGCTGTCTTTTGCAGCACCTGGGACGGAAGGAGCTGTCCAGTGTCTCTAGCTCTCGAAACATAAAGCAAGTCATACTGAAGACATCTCAAAACAAAAATTATCAAAAGTTGAATAGTTTAACTGAATTAGTGTAGAAGAATGGACATGCCCAACATGCCTACAAACCCCACACACTGCAAAGGTGAAGAACAGCTGGACTGCTGTATCTGTTCCATCCTCTGCAGTGGTCAAGCTGATTTAAAACACGATCCCGTTCTGCCAATGCAATCCGATTTGCCTGGCCTCAGAAAGCCTCTTCGCCCGCAAGAAAAGCCTGGACAGGGATGTCCGCAAAATCTCAGGAGTGTCGAACTCGGCCATCGTCTCCTTTGGGAAGAGCATACAAATCTGCTTATCCAAAACTCGTGTCTAATGCTGCAATATATTATATTGCACATGTCTGCAAGATTGTAAAAATGACGTCCTCAAAAATACGCCGTGTGAATAGGCGAAGGGCTACTCCAGGCCTTAAAAGTCATTATGTATTCTCGTCAAAACTATTCAAAACTGCCTTGGTCTCTCTTATTTTGTTGGTATTTCTGCGTGGATTCCAACTGATTCCCCCTCAAGAAACCACCTATCAAAAAGGCCTAAAAAGGCCTGCACTCTGTCTGAGTTGATGGTAGGTGTAAAGGAAGCTTTGGAGACGGGGTACCTTTGGGCCGCCACGGACCAAGAAAGAGAGGTTGGCTTACTCAAACATCGCCGAGCTTCTGTGTGCGTCCAGCCCTACCACTTCTCTGCCTGCAAAAGTTTTGACAAGTGTTGGGCGGTCTGCGTCAAGGACTAAACATACATCTCCAACGAAGTTCCTGAAGTCCAATAAGTTCAATGGAATGTATGTCCTACTTGTAGGGTAGCCGAGGATAGCCCCATGTCACTATGTCACTGTCACTGTCACTGAAAAAAGAAAAAAAAACTAAAGTCGCGTCTGCCTCACGGAAGCGTGGGAGCACCATGTTGTGCAAAGGCAGTTTAAGCCTTGCTTGGCATCAAACACCTGGCGTCAAGCAAACTCAAGACCAAGCAGTTCACGCTGCAAATTCAAGTCTGTTGATTCGCGTCAAATGTCCTGAAGGCTGAGCGGCAGTATGTGACTAAACTACAGACGATGCTTTGGGGAGCTATTCTTCTTCGCACAAAGCCTCAACACTGGCTCTACAGAACAGGTACGGTCATCACTCTGTACGTCTGGGGTGTGTTTTCTGTCTTGGCGATTATACATGATTCTATATACAATAAATTACAATAACGTATCCGGCAGGGCTTCCGATATTCAGACTCAGTCAAGGCGCATCAGCCGTATTATATTGGCTTTGAAAAATGAAGATGGAACAAGTCTTCTTGAGCTCTCCTTGCAACCACTTTGACCCTCACTCTCTATGCGCTGTCTTAATCATGCTTTTTCGGCTTGTACATTGTACATGTCTCCAAAACAGCAGCAGCAACAGCAACTGCGCCCGGTTTGCTGGCTCTCGGTGTAGCCCAAAATCTATCACAGTCGTGACTCTGGGCCTCGCAAAGCGACCCTCGCATTTCAGCAGAAGAAAGAAAAGCAGTCCTGCATCATCCTGCATCCCAGAATCCCAGTAATGAGTCCAAGAACACGTCACGACTTTTTTCGCCGGGCTTGTCACGTCTTGAATTACGAGTTGAAAATAGAGAGCTAACTCAGCATCAATCCGTGATGTCAATGCCCAATTGCATAAGGCAGTCGGTGCAATGCCACATCCTAAGTTCAGCAAAGGTGCTTGAATCACCAACCATGATTGATGTCCATTTCCATGTATGAATATTGTTCCTGTTCCTCATGAACCAGTTCGAAAATGGAGGGGCGGATACAGGTGTGGACTCACTCTGGTCGCTTATCAAGCAAGCCGCGCTGCATTGTAAATTGCATATCATGTCAAACAGTTAAGTTTTCCTGCTTTAGATACAGTACAAGAGTCCTTTCAAGTCTGACCTGAGGCCAGTCTGGCCGATCAACTTGGAAGGGTGGTAGGGTAGGGTTTGGCTTGAATGGTTTCAGAGCTTCTTCGTCACTTGCTCAACACGGCCCAAGATCCACGGGAAGAAGTTGCCGCAAAAGCAGCACTTCAGCACCTCACAAACAGCGTTCCAGATTTTGCAGACTGAGATCCCATTTTAGCCTCGTTTAGGCACTCGTTTAGGCACTCAATTGCACCCGTGCACTCTGGCCTTGGGTGAAAAGGTCCGCCAACAATCCTTCGCACAAAGCACTTGCCTCTGTTCCTCTGTTTCTGGAAAACAGAACCATACCAGTAGTCTAGCAGTGTCCAGCATGAATCAATGTCAAGCGGAATCTGCATTAAACAAAAGCATTCAAAAATCAAAGCCAATATAACATTATACATCCTCACAATGGAGTCCTCACAAAAGAACTCTTCCACATCAGGGTCTAGCCAGCCTTTCTTTGAATTCTGGCACCCAGAGCAGTAGCCTTCCACACTTCCCACTTTTTGCGAAGCAAATTGATCCTTGAATCCAGTGGCCACACATGAACTGTCTTCGAAACTGGCAGCAAATGCAACTGACCATCCTGCGAAAGGTCTTCCAAGAGCTTGTCCATCCGAGATTGCAGCACCTTGCGTGTCACTGAGTGTACTTAAGGATACTTAAGCCAGTATGACAAATGTCCAAGGGTCCCATGGGTTTCATGATGTTTGACCAAACACAGGAAAGGATTGATCATTGCCATTGCAATTCACGTAATATACAAGCCACTAGCAGTATACAAGCCTAATAATTAGGCATTTCATGGCTTTTCTATGTAATGTGCACAACTTGGAGCCCTGCCTGGCCCACTTTGGGCTTCAGCCAGCCATCCAGAATCACATGTCGGTGCAAGGATGGTAAGCTCACCTTGCCACGAGTACGCAGCTCTTCCTCCACGCGGCGTAGCATCTGCACCACCTGGTCTGTTGAATATTCGGCAAACAAGAGTGTTGGCTTACAATCTGATTGTCATGTTCACTGCGCCTGCTTACCGGTCATCCAAAGCTTCCCCATGGATAACGGCTTCGCTGCATCTCGAATGGCTTCATTCAGTTTCTCCCATCTGTCCTGGTTGCGATCTTCTTCAAAGAGTTTCTGTTCACTACTAACAACTTGTTGTCGCGCTAGTCTTGTAGTCTTGCAGCTCTGCCAATTTTGGTGCAAACCCGATTCGACTCCTCAAACTCGGATTTGTTATCCACGGGAATCGTGAAAAAGTGCCGCCGGTGCTCAGGGTACGCCTTGCTGATGAGGCTTCGAATCTCCTAAGATTGTCGCTGGCTAGCTGCCGCTAGCTGTCATTGGCTCTGGGGTTTGGGATCTCTACCTCCAACAACGTTTGTTACATGGCTGGCACAAATCTGGCCTGGATAATCCAGTGCGTGAAAGCACAAAAACACTTTTGCGTTTACAACTTGACAAGACGGGTCCTTGCGTTCTTCACTATGGTCTGCAGACAAGATCTTCTCCAGCGCATCTTCTCCATATCTCAGCCTGCCCAAACTATAGCAGCAACACCATGTTGCATCATCATTTCTCTGATTTGCCACTGACACAGCGATACACATCGAGATCAATAAACGCAACCTGGAAATGTCGCTTGGTCCATGCTGTGCCTGCTTTGATTCACAACGAAAAGAAGCGTTTGAGCCTTGCAGCTTGCAAATTGCAAAGCAACAAACGCATCAAGTTCAGTTCCAGACAGTCTACATCAACCACCATGAGACGGCTTCAAACTGCCTGCAAAGACCCTGTCCCATCGCATTTGATGAGAGACCGCTCCTGAAAGGGACGGTGCCCTATGATTCTGCAGCTCAATTCCAAAACGTTGTGGGTTTGCCGTAGCCGCGGTTCCGAACAAACACAAGTCCTCAAGCATCCGTGCCAATGCCTCCACTGCGGCCTCTGAAGCTTTCCCATCCGTGACGAAGATTAGTGCAGTTGCGAAAAGCGCCCCAACCTCAGCAAAGTTGTGCGCGTGCTTTACGTTTGTGGGTATGTACGAAGAAACAAAACACACACACTCTGACATTGGTTTTCAGTTAACTCAGTTCCCAGGTGAAAGGAAGGCGATGGAACGGCAAGGCGAAAGGTCCAAAGATTTGAAGATGCTTTAACAAAAGGTTTGTGCACATCTGCAATTCACGAGAACAGCGGTGTCGAGCGATCAGCGCGGCTGCACATCTGCGGTGGAAAAGGGTTTTGGGGTATATCATGCAAGGACCATGGAAACAAACCGATCAAATTGAACAGCTTGTTCAAAAGTTGAAGCAGGTACACAGGGATGATCAGTCCCTGCATCCTGGTCAGCTGCATAGAGCTTCGTTGGCGACAGCTATGCAGTGACCCTGTCGCCCCCTGCTGAAAGTGGAATTTAAAAAGCAAACCGGGAGGTGGAAAACCCTTAGGCACAGGGGTTGACACACACTCGTGGCCGTCGTCGGCGCACGTGTGACTTTTCGCAAAAACCGCTGACAATCTTTGGCATTGTGTCCCTTTAGGGCATATAGTCTCACTAGCTCATCGGCTGCTGCGGCTGCTGTGGTTGGTGGGTAGCTGTACGTGTAAATTGCGCGTAGGCACGAGGCAAGGCCTGACAAAGCGAGGCGCTGGCTTCCTGCGCTGGTGGGGTCCCTGATCTTCCAGGATTGGTTGGGTTGGACGCAGGTGGTTGTGCGTTGGGAAAGGTCAATGTTGAATCCCAGGAGGTGGAAGTCCTCCACGGTTTCCAGCTCGACGGGATCGCCAAAAAAGTTGTGGTGGATCAAGGTTTGGATGGCTGGGCAGGAAAGGAAGTGTTCGTTGTGTACGATGAAGCGGTTGTCGACATAGCGGTAGTAGGAGAAGTGGAGGACTGTGTGGTGGAGGAGGTTGTTGTGGAGCTGGCGCCAAGAGTGCTCGATCAGGGCGACGGCGACGTTGCGTAGGGCAGGAGAGAGTTGGGAGCCAATCCCAGCCTCTCGAATTTGCTTGTAGGTGTTGTTGCATGCCCGGAAAATACAGGTGTTGAGTGCGAAGGTGACAATAGTGGTGATGTCGGATGTGTGGAGTGTGAGTTGTGTGGGATGCTTGGAATGGTGTCGGCCGACATGAGAGTGGTGAAAGGGATCGCCGGTGGCCTTTGTATCGACGGTTAGGGTGTGGGTCGACTGTTGAGTTTGCCATTGCTGGATCATGGAGTGAACGGCATCGATCAAGTGATGTTGGGGGACGGAGTTGAAGAAACCGACAAGGTCGTCGTTGGTTGCACGTAGATGAACATCGGTGGGAGTCTGGGAGAGGTACGAGTGGAAATGGCGCCAGAGTTGTGGGATGGATAACTGGCCTGGGCGCTGTGGGAAGAGGTGTTGTAGGATGATGTCGAGTGCTCGACGGGTAATGCGGAGGAGGTTGCCGGCCATGGAGTGGTAGTAAGAGATGATGGTACGGCCCTTTTGCCATTGCTTTTTGGCTTTGAGGTGGACGACTCCATAGGGAATGGTGAAGTCTTTGCGGAAGCCCCGTTTGTATCGAGTGCGGAGGCTTGCTGGAATGGTGGCTGAGAGGTGTTCGTGGATGTTTGCTGAAGTGAGGTGGGGTAGTAGTTCGAAAGTTCTGGAGGTTGCCATGTGTTGAGTGCTCCTGCAAAGTATTGGCGTGGGCAGAACACCCGGAGCTGCTGGAGTTCATGGTCAGCGTGGTGTAGCACGACTTTGTCTCCCAAGTAAGCCTGAAGTTGTCGGAGGAGGCGGGCGGTAAAGCGTGGGCGCTGCTTGAGATGGGTGGTGTGAAGTCGCCATTGGTGTTGTAGGAAAGGTTCCAGGTGTTGGGTGAGTGACGTCGGCAGTCCTTGGAGTCGAAGCCATTTGGCGAAGGCCGTCTGAAAAGTGAGGAAGTAGCGGGCTTTGGTTGGGTAAAAGGTACTGTTCATAGTGGCATCAATGAAGAGGCGAAGATGTGGTGGCAGTGTGAGTTGGTCAAGAGTGAGGGTGTAGTGCTCGTTGGTGATGGGGATGTCTGGTTGAAGAAGAAGTGCGCGAAGATAGCAGGCACACGGAAGATCTGAGGAGTCTGGAGGCGTGTGCAGAGTGTCTTCCCAGGTTCGGCGGTTGTGGAGTTGTGCCCGGAGTGTCTTGCGGGCGGCTTCACGGAGGCGGTGGGTGGGAAGGTGCAGTGGGATGGCGAGGTGCTTGTTTTGCTGGATGGTGGTTCGCAGCCACTGCTGGCAATGTTTTGTGAAGTCGTCATGTGCCAGAAAAGGCACAGTGAGTGGAATGTTAGGCTTGGGTGGGGTAAGGTTGCGGTACTGGAGATCATGTGTAGTGCTCGGCTGCGGCCTGGTTCTTCCAGGTTTGAAGCCATTCTCCAGGTCTGTGCGGCGGCCGCTGCGGAGTTGTTTGGCAGCTTCGAAGGAGGCGGAGGTGTGCTTTGTGAGATCGCGTAGAAGGGTAAGAGCGTGATGTTTGCTGGACGTGAACAGGTGTGGTTCACTGAGTGTTTGTTGTCGTCTGCGGAGGCGGCGGAAGAGCCGCTTGTGGGTGGCCAGGCGGGAATAAGTGAGCTCCATGTTTGGTGAATTGCCATCCTTGGGCTTTTCGTTTGAGGTGCTGCGAGATGAAGGGCCAGTTGAGGGGTGCCATCCAGTTAGAAATGTGGTTGCGCTCATGGATCCAGGCTTGATCGTAGGTGTCGTGAGAGGAGAGTTGGATAGTTGTGAAGTGGTGAATGTTGTTGTGGGAGTGCCAATAACGTAGGGAAAGTTCGGCTGAAACTGGGACGTTGTTTTGGAGTTGTTTGAGTTTGACACGGCGATTGTATTCTCTGTGGGGGATGCCAATGGCTGTGGATCCAACGTAGAAGTGGCCATGTTGGTGGTAGCAACGATGAGGTTCGAGGATGTTGAATTGGAGCTTGATGTAGACAGAGTTGGAAGAGATAAAGTTGTGGTAGTGGTAAGTGTGAGGTAGGATGTGGAGCTGGCGAAATCGCTTGCGCCATTGTTGGGAACGCTGGGTCGAGGAGGGGTAGGTGAAAAGAAGTGTGATGTGGATTAGACCGGTGGAAAAGATGGCTTCGGCTCGTTCAATGTATTGTGTCTGGTGAATCAGGGTGGAAAGGGCACGGTGGAGGTAGAAAAGCTGTTGCATGTTGGTGTTTTTTGGCAGCTGCTGGCCGACGAGGCAAAGTCAACAGGCGAGCGCCGCGCCGATGCTGACCAGGCGCTGAAGGGACTTGATGGTCATGCGGTTCAACTTCGCAAGGGGTAATCCATATCGCGTGGCCGCTTCCTTCAGTTGTTCGGTGGTGACTTTGCTAGTCTGCAAGAGGCGGATTACCTCTTTTGCCGACTCTTGAATGGCCGGGTCGAATCTGGACACCCAGGATTGAATGGCTGGCTCTGGCCTGAGTGGTTTTATTCGGGATCTCAGTGCCTTGGGATGTATGGAGGGCTTCGGCGATGGCATCAAGATCGAGCCGTTTGTCGCGGATTTCTTGAAGTAGGTGTGTTGTAAAGACTGATTCTGCGATACTGCGGGTTGGGATCAACCCGCAGTATTTTCCATGGCTGAGTGTTCTTGCTGTGTAGTCGGCGGTGCCATGGTAGGCTAAAAGCCATGGGTATACGTCAAATGTGGGCAGTCCCGCGATGCCAACACGGCGGGACCATTGGGTGGGTTGGATGGTGCGGTAAAGCTGGTGGCCGTGGAGGGAGGTGTGTGTCTGTGGTGCGCCATGAGTCTTGGATTGGTGGCTTGGGAAAAGGAATGGTAGGTGGTGGCGCCGATGGAGCGGAGTGAGTGGGGCTGTGCTTGAAAGACGTTCCTGTAGGGGTGACAGGGGCCGCTGTTGTTGGAGGCGGTGGAGGTGGCGGTGGGAATTCACGGTGTGTTGGTGGAGAGTTGGTGGTCGGAGGCTGTGAGGGCGAGGGAGCGTAAGGGTGGTGTTGATGAGCCTGTTGAGTACGGATAGCGTGTGTCATGGGGCCGTAGGTGCCGGTAGGAGTATACTGAAGGTTCGAGAGACCTTGATGGGCAGCTTGGTTCTGTTGCTGCTGAAGGTAGTGCTGCCAATAGTACTGCTGCCATTGTGCGTCCATGGTGGGAGGGCGATGAGGCAGCGAGTAGTTCACGGTAAGCTTGGTGTTTGAGCAAAACAGCTGCAGGGAACATCAAAAAGGTCAAAAATTCAAGATCATACAGGTAGAGCAATGATGTTAGTGAGACGGAAAACCACCGAAAGAGAGGGACCCGAGTAGAAAGAGAAAAGAGAAAAGGTAATCTGGTGTGGTGGGAGTTGAAACTGGGTATGAATGCGCTTCGGAAGATACAAGCGGCAAAGCGGACATCTGCTCATTTTTCGTGGTGCGAGGTGAGACTATCGCTGGTCGCGGGCAGTGGTATGTGTCCAACAAAATGGCCGATGAAGCTGCTAGATGAAAAGATAAAGTAGAGGGGAGGGTGCAAATAAGACCTGAATCCGAGAAAAGAGTTGGAAAAATGAACGGGTATATTAACAATGGCCGATGAAAACCACTGTTGTTGTACGGCCTTTTAGCCGTGCGGTGTACCGCCTCATTGGTTGTCCGCGTGCCATGGGTCCCAGGCGGACTGTTGGGTTGGATTGTGGAAAGGTTGGCTGTGGGTGGGTGTTGCTTGCTGGCATTGGTAGTATGCTGGCCATGGGTGAGGTGCTGGTGCATGAAAGGCTTGTGGCAAAGGTGACGGTTGTGGCGCTGGTGATGCAGAAGGTGCTGTGGGCCACCAGCCCGGTGGTGGTGCTGCGCGCTGGCCGAAAGCTGGCGAAGGCTGATTGTATTGGAGGGTTGGTGGAGGATGTTTCGGTTGGACAAAAGCAGCCACCGAGGGTTGTGGTGTGAGTGCGTGGTGGTGTTTGCGATCTGGGTGGAGTTTTGGATCTGGCCCGAGTGGGTGTGCCGCCAATGGGTGAGTTGTAGTCGGATGGAAGTGCTGGTGGTGGGAGTTTTGGAAGAGTGGGGCCGGGGATCAGCTCGGCATACTGGAAGTGATCTGCGTTGGGTTGCTTGTTGGTGGCAGAGGTGATGTTGGGTGGATTGGCAGCTGTCAATGCACCTGGTCGTCGGCGCTAACCTGCTTCCTAACTAAGTAAGGCCTCAGGGAATCACGCGGATAGTAATAGTATAAACTGAGTGAGCTCATTAAATTTGTATGTATATGTGATGAAGATCCGCGAGGGCTTCACACTGAGATTCCTCTGCTTCACGCTGAGTTTATGGCAAGGTTGTGATCAGTGACCTCTGTGAAAAGGTGGGTGGTACCAATGAGTTTGTCACATGATACGTTCAAGCATGGCACGGTTCAAAAAAGGAAGTGGTGGCTGAGAAGCAACATCTTGCTTGGTTACTTCCCATGCTTTAGTGCCCCACTCTTTTGTGTTGCATATGTTCAATTTCTCTCGGAAGGGTAGATGCAGTTGCAAAGGCAGATTGATGAAGTTGGCTTTACCGCTTCCTTCTCAACACCTCCCCCAACTGCTTAATTGGAGTCTCTTGTCCTCTAAAATCTAAGTACTGTACTCGGCTTCGCGCAAGAACCTCAAGCCTTGCCTATCGGCTGGCTTTCGTGATACATAATATATATATATATATAATATAAATATATATAATATATACGTATATATAATGTGGTTTTCTTTTTTTTCGCTGTTGTTGGCTTCACCTCACCTCACCTTTGGTCCTCCAATCAGCTTCAGGAGGATTTTTGGAAGTAGAGCTTGCAGTGAGGTGACCGACATTGTCATTCTTACGCTGATGCATCTGCACCTTGTTGCTTAGCCCCAGGGCCAGAGAGCTTGAGTAAAAGAGCTGTGGCATCTGATGCACTGCTGTTCACTATTGCGCCTTTACATCTGCAGCCCGCAGTAAGTTTTTGAGCTAAAGTCACATGTTAAAAGGGTGATTAGGAAATGTGATCTGTGACGTGCACAACGAGCACGGACAATCAGACAGGGGACAACCTACACCGTGTATTATTGCTGTGTCTTCATACTGCGTATACAGCATACATGTACATATTTGGTGCTTCAAGTTTGAGTCTCCCACCACGGTGACGATGGAATGGCTCTTAGACATGGCGTTGTTGCCGCCTTCGCAGTCCAGAACCAGCAAGTGTCCCGGATGACTTGAAATGGCAACCACGTCGATGCCTAGCACAAACTGTATACGAAGGAACAAATTCACTGTTTTGCCAGCTCCACAAGTATCATTGCATGTCATTGTGGAATCACTATAAAGTCAAGTGTCCCTCTGTCACCGCTTCATCAGAGTCATCATCCTTAAATGCACCCGTGCCAACCTTAGGGATCAGCCATGATCGGCCTGAAACTTTTCAGTACTAGCCATGACAAGCCACTTGGCTTAGTCAAAAAGGGTTCTTGCCAGGCGACGACTTTGGAGGCAAGGTACGACTTTCCGCTACGCCCATCACCCACAAAGGCAATCGGGCATAACGGTCCAGGAAGCGCGTTGATGGCCTCAACCAAAACCAAATAAATGGCAATGTCTAAGGTATTTTCTACGGAAGCACTCTGCAGGGGCTCTGAGCCTCCTACTTCAAGACCTTCTTCACAAAGGACCGGCTGCTCCCCATGAAATTTGAGAAGTGGAACAGATCTGAGACGTGACGAGGCGCAAACAAGCACAGAGGCATCATCCGTGTCAATCCTCCCGCTTGCTGGACTTTCTCTCTGATCTGTGATTTTTGTACAATCTTTGTAGGCCCCTGGCACCAAAGTCTGCATTGCATAAGACTTTTCTCACATGCTGCACCGCAGCACGAGACTTTTTCACGTATAATTCCAACACCGCGGAACCCTTCGGAGCTCCATTGCAAGTTGGTTCCAAATACAGTCTCACATAATGTGAGCAACTCTGCTGGAATGTCCTGAATTTTCATGGAACTTCAAGCTGATGTAGTGGTGCTGAAATAGCATGCGTTTGAGAAGGGATGTCGTTCTCATCATGTGCTAGTTGGGTTCAATTTGGGCCAACGGCTCCAGGAGAAGCTCGTGAGTGAGAAGTGCAGCACGTGTGCAACGGAATGCTTTTTGTCTGACTTTTTGATGCAAAAGGCTGTGTGACACTTGATTGCAAGTGTCAAGTGCTGCAGATCACAGAACAAACAGAATTTAGCCTCCGGCAAGGTGAGCGAGGACTCGGCTATGTTGGAGGCAAGCACAACGTGACAGCGGCCACCTGAAAAGTCTGTCCATTTGTTGGCGGGGGTAGGCCGCGAGGAGGTAGTGGTCGCTAGGGAGTCGCTAGTAGCTTACTGGACGCTACTACCGACAGGACGCAGGATTTGGTTCCTAGATTTTTAGGGAAACTTAAGGTTCCTAGGATGTAGAAGGTGTGGTGTAGCGGTGGTACAACGAGGGCGGGCGGTGAGGGAGGGGTAACATCTTCATTGGGAGATCCACTGGGCCTCCATGCAAGCAAACAAGGGCACTCTGTCCATCGAGCGGTGAATAAGTTCAACTCAATGAACAAGCTATCATTTGATGAAATGAAAATAGACCAAACCAAAACTAGGAGCAAGGACGCTACTAGGGGCTCCTGGCCTTACTACTAGGAACAAGAAGCTACTAGGAGCAAAGGGCATCACTACTAGGAGCAAGGACGCTACTAGGGTGAGTTCGCTTCAAATGAGGAGCATGCGGAGTATATGCAAGTCTCCATTGGGGTCGCGAGGAGTCTCGAGGAGTGAGCAGGAAGCGACCGAGGTTTTGAAACCGTGGTCCCTGTCCAGCATCACAGTGTCTGGGAAGGAGTCAAAAAGGAAGGAAAGGGCTTTTAGAATGAAGTGAAAGAATCATCTAAGTTGAATGGTCAAACTGGCTTGGAAGGAAATCATCGTTAGTAGACAACCAACTAGCTAACTAGCAGGTCTGCAAACACACCAACCCTTGCAAACACATGGACATACAAAAGAGTTGTGAAACATCCGTATCACTGGCTCAACCGCGAGTAGCTTCTTAGTAAATGTTCAACACTCAATCCGACTGTATCACTCTTTCGCCTGCCCTCTCTTCGACCATCCACTGTGTCACAAGCATTGCAAACGCAAAAAGTGTCATGAAAAGCAGGGCTTTTCTTGCTACAGTGCAAAAGCTGTTTTGACTCTGACCTGGGGTATGGCGGGAATAGCTCGCAAAAATCATGCAGCACAAATGAGCCGTTACCAACTACCCGGGAGAGCAATGACTGACAGCCTTACCATTATTAATTGCACCTGCATATTATGAGAAACAAGAATTGTCTCACGTCACACGGACTCTCAACAGTTTTGCACGATTTGTGAATAAACATCATGATATATCATGATGATTTGATCAGAATCATCAAGTTATAATGGTATTTACAAATTATATATCATCATCAGGATGATAGTGTAGGACTGCAAAGAGCATCTATCTAGAAGGAAGTAGCCCTCTGACCTGTAGGCGGCTTGAAGACCTCTTCCTGCTCGGTTCTGGGGACCTCAATGGAACTGAGAAGGGAAACAGCCAACACTACCCTGCTACAAAATGCTTGAACACCTCTGAAACGATCTGCCAGCAATCAACTTGACGCACATTGCAAAGCGAGAAGGCTTCTGTGGTGGCCACCATTGAATGCAGCACAAAAGTCTTGAAGCTGGACAGCCCTTGCAAAGTTTGCCTGTCCAATGTCTTTACTGGCCAAAGCTGTCCGTATTGGTGTATAAACTGGATGAATGTTGATTTGGTTTTAAGAACGACCTGTTGCATGGCACAGCTGTGCAAGTCGCAACCATTTGAGGTCGAAAAGTGTCACACATACAATTGCATGAGCAAGTTTTTCATGATCCGTCCAGACTATTTGCTCTCCTTGGCATTGCATTCAAGACCTGGCGATGGCAATCAGCAAACTCTGCAAACGGTTCAAATGGTTCTTGAAGCGGTTGTTTCAATCAAAGGGTTCCCAAAACGCTTTTGTTTATGTTTGAATGTGTCAAATTATGTCAATGTGTTTTGTGCGGCACCTCTGAAAACAAATCTGAGAGTTTGTTGAGCTCCAGGAGCCTCATGATATCTCATGAAGTGGAAGCACAAAAGTCCAGATAGTTTCAAAGTGAGCGCACCCGGGTAGGAAAATCAGCATTGTCGAGTCCGGCTGCGCAAAATGCGGACACAGCTGCACCGCCTTGGCAGCTTGCCATGCAGCTTGCATTGTTGCTAAAGTCGCTTGTGGGATAATTGAGGCAGGCGCCAGTTCAAGCAGCCCCGGAAGAATGCTTGGGGACTTGAGGTCATCCTCAAGCTGCAGCTAGTTGTGTTTATATATATATATATAATCAAGGCTCTTCACAGCACTTTGTACTTTGCCTCAGACAGCTGTTCGAATTGCTCTGCCGCTGCCTACCAGGTCAGCAAGTCAAGCGGCTACAATCATTCCATGTGTCAAAAACTGCACAAAATGACAAATAAGGATCTAAGCGTGACAACTCTTTAAGCCTGCTTTTTAAAAACATAATTTATGCTGTGACTGTGAGTGTTCCCTTCCCATGCGCGTAGGAAGGGGCTGTTAAGTCCGTTAATAGTTTCATGGTAAGGAAAACAGATATATATATATAATCATCCTGGAGTAGATAGAATATGTAATTTTAAAAAAAAAATAGGTCAAGGCCGAAACATAGATAGAATATGGATCTGACCCCAAAAAATGTGTTCAAAAAATGTGACCTCAATCAACCCCCCTTTTCCACTCGTGTTTCCCTTTCCCTGTTCACTGTACGAGGAAGTGGCCGGCTGTTTTTTGATCTAAAAGATGGCCTCAATTTATCAAGTACAGGGAGATGAGGCAAGTCATTGTTGGCGACAAATGCAAAGAACAAACACATAGATAGAATATTTAATAACACAGGAAAACAACTAAATAAAGCAAGAAAGGGGAACAAACATACAATAGAGATGCAGCTAGTGCCATGCAAAAGCAGGAAACTGACGCCACCAAAAAAAGGACCCAGGGATAGACAACAATTGACCTGATAACAGAGAGAGAGAGAGAGAGAAAAACAAAAACATGAAAAGAGAGAAGATAAGGAAGAGAAAGACCAGAAGACGAGTATGAAAAGGGTGAGGATGGAAAGAGGAAAAGGAGCAGGAAGAGGAAGAAAAGGAATTGGAGATGGAAAAGGGATAAGAAACAGGAACAGGTGGGTGGAAAAGAACATGGAAGAATTCCGGATTCTATCTACTCCAGGATGATTATATATATGATGTACAGTATAGCCCATTGTTTGAACAAAAAATAATGCTGAACTGATGCCGCACGTAACTCTCTTGCGTTCGTGGGGCCCCTTTGAAGGAGGACACTCGACAGTTGTGATTTTAGAGCAAAGAACCCACGTACATGTAAGAACCCCATCAAACGGCACATGTGCTCCAGAAAATGAGGTGACTTTCATGTATGATGCCACATCCGGTCGTTGCAGTGTGACATGCTTGATATGTACACCACTTGCCGTCAATTATCTCGCTGTACCTTTACTAAGACGAGCGGGGGCATTGGTCACTAAACTCAAGACATGCGATCTATTTTGAGGTGCCTCTATCTCGCTTTCACTACTTTAGTACGAGACCACATACTGTCAAGTCTACACTATATCGTTCAATTGAGCTGAAAAAAATAAACATCTCGAAATTATTATCCCGGCTGCAAGTCATAGCAATTCGAAGCAGTGGCTTTCGTGCAGACAGCAGGTGCTCATGTACAGCATTGTATGGTTGTACGCTGTGCATGTCCTTTTTTCTTGGGCCTGTGTGCGCGTGTGTGTCTATGAAAGCGAATGTGAGCGGTGTCTGCAGCAGCGACTTAGCATTCACTTGTTGCACTGGGTGGGTGTCTCTAGGGGTCTTATCTGCGCAATTCAGTCAAGCCGTGAACTACAGTACCCTGTACTCATGCTCCCCACGTAGTCCGTAGTCACGCGATCTGCAGCAGCGATTTAGCGGTGACTAAACGCCAGCCCTAGCGCAACGCTTCGTTTTGGTAGCGCGACAAGGTAAGCCTATCCCAATTAAAACACCAGACTACCAAGTGGTGGGCCAAGCGCGATTTCTGAATTTGTGGGAACCTGGGAACGTTCCTTACTTAATACAGAAGACCGGGATATTATGTTCAGCCTAATCAATGATTGTATATGATTGTAGATCTGTAACAGCAAATCACGTTCTTGAGGGCTCCTATCTCGTTCACAAAAATACTGTTCGAATACGGACGTTGGACAAACAAATAGTGCATGTCGCAGACAGCTCTAGTTACAGTAGAGATCAAATAAAAGTGTTTGGTCAATTGAGCTTTTTTTTGGGGTGAGTACGGGGCCTATACACTGGAAGCATACCTACGCATCTGCCTTCGCAAGCCTTCACGAAACATGTTTTTTGTGCAAAGGGCGTGCCTTCGCGGTTAAACTGAAACTGTGTTATATGCTGCCTTCAAAGTTTAAACAGTACAAAACTTGCCTACGCAAGTTGCCTTCGCGCAAAAAAAAGTGGAGCATACGCGATTTGGCTTCGCGTGTCTTAGCACGTGCACAAAACTATGAGAATTGAATTCGCGGGCTATAATGCAGTTCCACTTTTATATAAACCATTGTAAACCTTTACATGCCAATAAAAACGTTGCTCAATTAGGAAAACGAAGTGCACCCACTGGTAGTAACCTAGTGACCTGGTCCCACTGTTGGTGCACTGTTCCCATCAAAATAAACGACTCCTGTCTTGATTGGCAGGCCACCCCTTAGAACCGCAAGACTACATATTACATATCAGAATACCAACCACTTTTGCTTTTTGGCTGATTTGACTAGTAGCTAGAGACCTTTGATTCTGTTAGCTTGTGTGGTTCGCTAGTTTCCACCAAAGCTGTGGAAGGTACCAAGGCCAGGTAACCACCGACAGCATGTTCACCTGAGAAGATTGCTTATCGTTCTCCGAACCAAAACTGTGTGCTTCTTTGGCTTCTTGTTGCACTGCCTGCAGCAATTGGAGAATTATCTTCTTGTTGAAAAGTACCATGAGTGTCAAAAAGGGCTACTCTTTCGAGCCGCAGGATACCTCCAGGAGAGTGAGAACAGAGGGCGGCAAGCTGTCACTGTACTCCGACAGCAAATCGTCCTTCAAGGCTCCGCGTGGGCAGGAGTATGATGGGCGCCCTAAACCCACCAATCTAAACAAAGGAATAGAGGTACTGCGGTTGACCTGTCCTGAGTCCTGGCTGCCTGTCATCACACAAACGGCAATAGGTACCAAGACAGCGGGTTGATCGTGCACCCTGTCCAGGAAGAGCTCTTCGACAGGGAAGGTTCGCCCAGGCCTGAAGAATATCTGCCGATTCTTTAGTCTCTGCAAGTACTCCAACCTCGAAGCGATGGCCTCCAACCTAATACCGATGGATGGCTCCAACCTACTAGCAATGGCCTCCAACCTAATAAGGCCTGCAACCTACTGGCGATGGCCTCCAACCTAATAGAGATTCTCCCAAAATGTTTCCCTTCTTTCTTAGATGCCCGGCACGCTTAAAGGCTCGCCTATCGCAAAATCGGAGTAGTAGCTGCCTCAGCGACATTCATCTGCTAAGGCGTCACCAGCTGGTGTCCAAAGAAATGTCAAAGTTAAGATAATTTGTATAAAAGAATAGCTTTCATTCCAACTATGTCGAGTGATATAGCCTTGTCCTCGCAGTGGCAACCTTCAGGCCTTTGCTGGCCCTTGGTCCAGCACAGAGATGTTGTCGCTGAACATGTTCTCTACTTCAAATTGCAATCTTGACCCTTTTTGGTCCGTGCAAACAATTCTGGCAAGCTTGACTCTTACTTGCGTAAGGGCCAACCAACGCCTTGGCATTTAGATATTGTTCACTGCAGCTGGTTTCTTTGGTCAATGTGTAAGGAGTTTTGCAATAATATATATATATATATTATATACATGCTTCAATATCTTGAATGGCACAATGGTCTACAAGAACCCTTTCAAAGGTCCTCTTGCATCCATTTAAGTGTGCAGTTCTAAGTACCTGCTGCAATTCAGTTTTGTTATGTTTTGTATTTTTCCTGTGCGTGCTTCAACAAAAGAGATCACACAATTCTTTGCACCTAGAGAGTATCATGTAAATAGGTAGCAGCAGGCAGCAGGCCATTTTTTTGGCAGAGGCAATTTGTCAGCGCTACCTTGTGCTCACAAGTGTCCTTGCTGCAAAAAGAGTCACCCCCAAACAGAATGGTCGCAACCTTTTGCTGACACAGCTTTGGGTAAGAGGGCGGGGTCCACTTCATGACGTGATATTGATGATGTCTAGAAAGGACCCGGAAGGCAGTTCTTAACAGAGAGCACCGGTTAGCTAGAGTCTGAAGTTCGCAAGCAGGATGCGTGGCCAGTCTGTGGTGCTGACATGTATAATGGGAACATTATGAATGTGAAGGGGCTATGACACTCGGCTATGAATGATGCAAGCTGGCTTCAACCGATAAAGTACCGGTGCTTGCAAATGGGCTACTTCCGATAGCTCCCCCTATTGGCTATTGCCGTTTTGCCAACCTTGTTTCCTTCATGTTGGCAGTAACTTCTGTTGCTCTTACAGTTACAGTTACAGCATATTCATATCCAATAACGCCTTATGTACTTTCCGCAGGAAAGCAAAGGCACGGAATTCGTCAGGCTGCATCGTAGCTGACATCAAAATGACCTGTAGATCAGATTAGACCAGGATGCAAAATGCAAACTAAACAAAACAGGCGAATGTATTTTAAGTATTCTAATTTTATATATATAAAGAAATGTACAGTATATGGCAATCTCAAAACCATCAATCACGTAAGAACAAAATGAAGCACAACAAACGATGTACAGCAGGTGTGGTGCTGTAGCCTTGGGGCGTGGGAAGAGGTACATCAGGAGCTTCGTCAACAGCAAGAACAGCTCCATGTCTGCTCCTCGCTCGTGAACCTGCGGTTGAAAAACAGTCAGACAGCTACTTGCATTCCCTCAAGACATGGTGCCTCGTCGATTACGATGTGACTGAACTTTCCAAACTGCTCAGGGTTCGCAAGAAACCAGGTCAGCACATAGCCTAGAAAGCAGAACAATGAAAAGCTACAAATACAGAAATCTTATGCTGGTTGACACAAAAAGCAAAATCAAGGAAATTGTAGAAACTGACAACCTTTTCAGACCCACACCTATAGTGGCGAACTGCAGCTTGCCACTTCCTACCAACGTCTCACCAGATATGCGATAGCCAACATTTTGGCCTACGGGTTCTCCCCGTTCTGAGGCCACTCGCTTGGCAATCTCAACTGCAGCAACACGGCGAGGCTGAGTTACAAGAACCGATGCTCTTGGCTCGTCCATGATGTACTGTGGCAATCGTGTGGACTTTCCACATCCTGTTGCTCCCACCAAAATAGTCGCTCGATGGTCGCGAACATGCTCCACTATCTTGCTACGCATTCCTTCAATAGGCAACTCCTCTTCAGGGTGACCTGCTTTGCGGCTCTCAAGCTGCTCCCAAGCATTCTCCTTGAAAATAGAATCTGGCGCCTCATCCCAAAGATTCTCCCAAAACTTGGGTAAAGTGTCATGGGCCATTGCCCTTGCCAACTGCCGATCGTCTTCCAAATTCTTCCATGCCTCTTGAAGAAGTTCGGCTTCTGCTTGATTTTGTTGTAATCGCTTCTGCTGCACTTTGGCCTCTGAGTCTGCCTCTTTTTTTTCTTCTTCTTCTTTTTCTTTTTCTTCTTCTTCTTCTTCTTCTGCTTCTTCTTCTTCTTCCTTTTCAGCTGCCTGTGTTACATCTTCTTGCCGTTTGTTCTTGGACTGCGCAGTCTCGGTCTTGCCCGGAATGAACCACATGTTGCCAGGTGGTGGTGTGCGAGCGGCAACCTCTTTGGCCAGTGAACTTCGCACTTTTGGACGATATTGTGGCACGTCTGGTACCTCTGGTGACACCTCTGGTGACAGGAGCTTCTCTGGCCTCTTGGGCAATCCTTAGGCATCACCCTACTGGACTCGACCATGATTACTAGTAGCGATGCCCTCGGTACCACTTCCATCTTCCAGGTTCCAGGCTTTGTACTTCTGTGCGCTGGATTCCTCTGCTTTCGCGCCATGCTGATGCCGAAAACTTTGCCTCCTGCACTACAGATTGCAATTGGGTGTCCGATTTGTCCCTGCATCAACTATCTGATAGTGGCAGGTGCTAAGTCCTCAGTCTTTTCTTGCAGGAATTCACTCTTGACCTCCTGCCAACTTAAGATATGCACGAGTTTGGATGATCTGTTCAGTATCAGCCTGTCGTATGATCATGTTTGCATCACAAAGGCCAGTAAGCTGCGCTCCGGTTTCTGGAGTGATGTCAAGTGCTGTCGAGTGCAGTCAAGTACCACTTGCACTACAGTGGTCACTATGTACAGCTCTCGCTCTTCGCTCAGGTGGCAAGTTTGCCTTGCAAAACTGACTTTAGCTGCTCGACAGGCACAAGCTACACAAATCAAAGCTAATGCCTCGTCTCCATCAAGCTACCTAAAGCCTGTGTTCCTGACTCACTGACGCAAGTGTTCATTGATGTGTGACATGACATGAAGGCAGACATGTTCGGAGACAGGATTCATGGTGTCACTGGCACCAGTCACCAGTCCTTTGGCAAGGCATCAGCCACCTGCAACCAGTGACCGTCATCACTGATCAACTTCAATAGCACAGTGCACGTGAGATGTTGGTCCATAATTCCAGCTTGTTTGAGAGCGGTCGACAATGTTGGGCAGACCCGGCAACAGTCAATCAAATTGGATCAAATTGGGTTGTGGAGTCTAGAGCTTGTTCAGACATGTGAGGGTAATTATGAGGATTAGTCTTGACTTGTCTTCTGTTTGTATATTTTCAGCCGAACTCTTGCGCTGGAGATTTCTTCCTACATCTTTCTACACCTCAATACACAGCTGTCTGTCGTGTCTCCCCAGCGAACCTCCTTCACTTCCGGCGGGGTGGTAGGGCCTTGGAAGAACAAAACGAGTCTCGCCTCACAGTGGAACATGGTCGATCACAGTCAAAGAGAAAACGCGTTGAAGCCACACTTCTTCCACGGCCTTGCGTGGGCGCTCTTGTTGCTGGAACCTTCAGCCAAGCTGCCACTCTTGTCAACCAGCGGTTGTCTCTCCCTGTCACTCGATGAGCCCATCAAGCCATCATAACCTGAATTCACAATCAGAAAATGCACACCATGACTCTGCTTTCTACATATCATAGACTAGACTACTCGCGACGAACTAAAGCAACAAGTCTAATCACAAGACCTCACAAGAAGCGCCAAGAAATCTAAATGGAAGGTCACCTGCACAACCAAAAAGGATGAGAAGAGTGATTGATGCGATCATGAACTATGTAAGTATCAGGAGGGAGAGAAACGAAAAGGAATATTAATATATAATATACTTTTATATTGTATATATATATACATACACAGTAAACTTGTCTTGCAGAGAGCCTCTCATTACCAAAATCAAACTCGGTGCTGTTTGAGGCATGAGACATGAGAGGTTCGCTGCTTTTGACAAGTGCAGCATAGTGCGACAGTCTGGGAGGACAAGGATTATCGATTCACAAAACACAAGGGTGCGAAAATGATGTGCGAAGGCCAAATGGTTTTGTGCCAAATGAGTCAATGGTGCAGCACATGTCTGGGTCCAGGGTGGCCATTTTCTGGGAGTCTTGTCTCACGGGCAGATTGAAAGAGAAAGTTCCGAACTACGAAGTTGTGGACAAGTCTGTCGTGACATCAGGAAGATAATTTTGACTATTCAGAATGCATCAGTATCTCAAAGAAGAGATTCTAGAGGCAATTACAGGTTTGCTCCAAGGTAGAGATTTCTAGACAGTCTCTAAATGTCTGGCGTGTCAACTTTGCGCCAAGGCAGCAGCTGCAGCCACATTGGTGAACTGTGTCATTGAAGCACGTCATCCTACTTGGTTCAGTTTTTGTGACATGGGTCTTAGGTGCTTCAGTGTAATGGTAATGGTAGGGAAAGGATGGGCAAGGATGTGTTTTCATTAGTGTGACAATGAACTGTTGATTAAAGTTGTTGCTGTTTCATAGTGTTTGGCCATTTTTGAAAACCTATAGGCGGTTACAAATCAACGTTCTTTCCGATGTCCGGCCACAAATGTGTTTCGAAATTACAATATAGTAAGGGATGCATACGTTTTTCAAAATGTTCAATTCTCAGTCCCTTCTGCTTGCGAGTTTCATTAGCAATCCGTTGCACCGCCTGATAATTTTGAGAAGACAGAGTCTGCGATGAATGTGGGACGAAGAACAAGTTTACATTTGTTGAACTGGTGAACTGCTGCGATGCTAAAACAACAAAGCTACTCCGCCGTCAGCGTCTTCGGGGAATTTGCACATTGTGAATCATTGTGACACTGGTGGTAGCGTGGTCATGAGCATGATTGCGGTCTGCACAAACAAGCAGGAGAAGGGCACTTCCCTGAAGCCCTCTGTGAGAAGCGGAGTCGAAGCCACATCGGGATCGTTTAGTCGAGGTGAAAACACCACGCACGTCGCGCGCAACTCAAACCGACTCATCACCAGCAGTGGAGCCAGCTGCCGCAACAAGACCAGCAGGTAATCCCACCGCACTCCACTCAGTTGACGCACCGCCAGCAGCAACACGAAGAACCCGAAGAACTCAAGAGCCATCAGCATGGCGGAGTGAAAAAAGTTCGGTGAGCATCTTGACGCTCTATATAAATCCAGCGAATCAAAACGTTCGAACGAATGAAACACGAAAACAACGGTGAACCCGACAGAGACTGCTGGACCCTGTGCCCGGAGAAAAAACACCAAAACCACCCAAAGGCCCCCCTTCTGAGCCCGAAAAACACAAATTACTCAGCGCCGCTAACGGCGGCGTAGCCATAAACAACATCGAGGCCATGGACGCAACACAGCCTTCCAGTTCTGGCAGCAGAGCAAATCAGACTTTTGAGGGGAGATACTCTCCTACAAGCTATAAAGTACCAGCATCATGCTATTTGCGACGCATAATTTGTCGCGCAGGCAAGCCAGCTTAACATAGCAGCGCGGTGCTTGAAAAAATCTTTAAATATTTATATATACACCTGAGAAGGGAGGGGACGAAAGCCAGCCTCCAAGACATCAATGTGGTTACGGGGTGATGTTGACAGCGCACTTCAACTGCTGTCGGGGAAATAGAAGGCAGAGAGGCGCAAAGTCTCGCATTGAGGGTCAATATGATAGGATTTGTACAAAAGGTCTTGATCAAGGCCCATTCACTGTTAGCGGTTATAGGATAGAAGTGGAGCCCATGCGTTAGGAGAAAGGTTGAATTGAGCAGGACGTTTACAGTTCGGGTGGACAAAAGTTGAATTGAGCGGGACATTCACAGGTCGAGGTAACTGAAGGGCGCTTGCCTGCGGTTTGTTTCTCCTGTCTTGTACCTGGACTGAGACACGCGGCGCGCTCCTAAAAGTGGACCGATGAAAGTTTACTGAGACTGCCAAGATCACGTGATTGTATAACATCGAGCAAGGATTACTGTTGTTGTGGGGTGAGGTCGACATTGGACTGACCTCTACTGCTGTTAGGCGCCGGGAAATTGAAGGCAGAGAGGAGAAAAGTCTCGCGTTGAGTGAGGGTCGATATGATAATGGTAAGCTCTTTATTTGCAAGGCCTTGACCAAGGCCCATTCACTGCCACGCGTTAGGACAAAGGTTGAACCGGGCGGAAAATAGACGGCGCAACTCAAAGGAGACGGCAGATACACTCACGGCGCAACTCGCAAGCACGACCTTTTTCCCAAGCAAGTCCAACATGTCCCCAAAAAAGGTGAACAGCACAGGACAGCTTGCTTCAACAAGAAGTCAATTAAAGAGTTTTGCAGTACCTTATACTTATACTTAACTTGCGAGAGCAACATGTGGATAAGCGCTGGAAAATGTGAAAGCTAGAGTTGATCCTGCACATTGTTTTTGAACCCCTCGAATCACCATTGCAAGCTTTTTGCAACCACCTCTGCAAACTAGGAAACAGTCAAGGAGCAAACTAACAATGCGTCTGAAAGAGGCTCCTGCAAGAATGCGTTGCGCCATCTATGGCTCACATCCACTGCCAAAACATAGCCGAAAAAATGGCGAGGTTCTCGCGGTCGAGCTTGGCAATTTTCAGGGTATTTCATGTTCATTGATGGCGCAGGTGACTGTCGCTATTGGAACCCTACAGATGGCGCTATGTTTTGAAAAGCCATCAACTTTCAAACGGGAGCGCTTATGCTTCTGAAAGCACCACGCTGCACCGACATGGAAACTGCACCAATTGGAAAGAATCCTAGACGCAGTCCATCCACACATTCCCCATGTATCAATCCCAATCTGGCAGAGAGTTTATGGTAGAAGGAATTCGCTTGAGTTTGTTGTGGGCGCGCTTGCCCTCACAAGGGCAGCATACCAGAATCTATATAGAAGCACTGTGGCGCTGCTCGACCGTCTGGCTGACGGTCCATGACGATTCTGAGCGCTCGCTCACTTGTCCGGGCAGCAAGCAGCGGTACCCAAGGGATGACCAGGTACGAGTCAGCAACCGAATCAGGAAACAGGGAGAGCACAGCAGGAAACCTGGCCTGGCCGGGAAACAAGGGAAGAAACGGGCGCATAGAAAAGTTGAAAGTGGGACACCCTTGCAGGACACTCTTGTGGGACACTCTTGTAGGACACTCTTGTGGAACAGTCTTGTGGGACACTCTTGTGCGACACTCTGGCATGTCACTCTTGCGGGACACTCTTGTTGCAGTCTTGTGGGACACTCTTGTAAGGCACTCTTGTAAGACTCTTGCGGGAACACTCTTGTGGGACGCTCTTGCGGGGCAATACTACTAAAGTCTCCAAAAGTGAGCCGTCACATCTCCAAAACTACCGTAGTGCTTCGCACGAGACTTCCTCTAAAGCTCACACTTCAAGTCTGCAAAGCGAACGCTTCGTACGAGACTTCCTCCAAAATGCACGCGTCAAGTCTCCAAAGCGAGCGCTTCGTACGAGACTTCCTCCAAAGTCACACGTCAAAGTCTCCAAAACGAGCGCTTCGTACGAGACTTCCTCCAAAAGTCAAAAGCTTCGAAGCAACAGCCTGAAACGTTGAGAGGCCAGTCCCAATCTGACTACGAAGAAAACTGCGGGTCTGACAAAACGCTGCACCTGCGCAGTGAAGTCATCTAAATACCAAACTATAAA